TACCTGACGGCTTGATGATGTAACCGAGGAACTCAACAGTATCGGTATGGAACACGCACTTCGAGAGTTTGGCAAATAACCGCCATACCTTGAGCCTACTGAGCACCGTCCTGACGTGCTCGATGTGTTCCCTCTCGTTGTCGCTGAAGATCAGGAAGTCGTCAAGGTATACTACCACGTATACGCCAATGATGTCGCGGTAGATGGTGTTGATGAGCGATTGGAAGTGCGCGGGCGCATTTGCCAATCCGAATGGCATGACCAGATACTCATACAGTCCGAGTTGAGTTCCAAACGCGGTTTTCCATTCGTCCCCGTCGGCGATCCTAACCAAGTTGTAAGCTGCCTTTAGGTCCAGCTTGGTATAGATCTTTGCTTTTCGTAGGAGGAACAGCTGCTCCTCGATTAAGGGCAGTGGTGCTCGGTTCTTAACCGTGACCTCGTTGAGACCGCGGTAGTCTACGCAGAGTTGCAGGCCGCCGTCCTTCTTAGGCACGAAGAGGACGGGGGATCGCGCCGGGCTCTTTGAGGGCCGAATGAATCCCTTCTCGAGATTCTCTTCGAGGTACTTCCTCAGCTCGGCCATCTCCTTAGGTCCCTTGAGATATAGCGGACCTTGAGGTGGTGTCGAACTGGGTAGTAGCTCAATGTGCAAGTCGTGCTTCGTGTGAGGGGGAAGCTTGTCCGCTTCGACCTCGTCGAATACATCCTTGAGGGGGTAGTACGGGGCTGGGATTTCGACGGCAGTGGGAGGCTCTTCTAGTGTCGTTTCCATCTCTATGCCTTTGTCGCCTCCCGTGGGGACAAAGCCAAACGACGGGAGCGACGTCGGAGGAGCGCTGATTAGCATGACCCCTATGGGGCCATCCCGTAGTGCCGCCTGAACGAGCTCGTTGGCGTCGACGAACTTGTAGCCATGTACTACTAAGTTTGCTCGAGATTCGGCAGATCGGCCGGTCTCGGCGGATTTTGGTGAAATCCCTTGAATGACCGCGTCTGACCGGATCTCGTTGGTTTTTCCGAAATCGAGCTGTCCAGTATCCCAATGGACCCTTGGCTGTAGGCGTCGTAGTTCATCGTACCCCAGGATGAAATCGTAGTCGCTAGCGTCAGCGACGGCGACCTTGAGCATCCCTAGGTGTTGTCCTCCTATGACTACTTCGACGTCAGCAGCGCTCGTGATCGTGAGGGAATGTCCGGTCACTCCGTGTACGGTTCTGTTTTTTATGGGTTTTGTGGTTATCGAGTACTTGCGAACAAACGGAGCTGAAACTATAGACAATGCAGCGCCGGTGTCGGCGAGAATGCTAGCAGGATGGTGGTTGACCGTACCTGCTAGCTCGAGTACTGAGGCACCGGAAGCTGCAGAGAAACATAATGAACAATCCTGACATATACAAGGTGATGGCGAAGGCGGTCTTAGAGCGATGCATGCCATCATTGCATCGCTCCAAGATCGTTTCCCTCGTCCTCGTGGTAGGGCTCGCCTGCGTCGTGATCGTCGGCGAAGAGGTTGGGGTCAAAGTGGTCTTCAAGACCGCCATCGTCTTCGCGATGGTCTTCAGCTCCGTCTCCTTCCTCTGGTGAGCCGTCCTGTGGTTTCTCCGACTCCAACACCACGTGCGCTCGCATCTGTGGTCCTGATGGTCTAGACGGGTAAACCGTTGGCTTGGCGTCTGGACAGTTCCGCTGCCAATGCCCGGTCTTGCCGCAGACCCTACAGGCGTCGCTGTTAAATGTCGTCGGGCCGGGGACGACCCTTCGGTCGTCGCGAGGTCTCGGTGGTGCTTCCCGTACCGGCAGCTTCTGTGCCAGATGAGGGGGCAACGGTCGAGAGCCAGTTCTCTGGGGAATGCCCGGTTCAGTATGAGCAGTCCTGATTGCTGGGGTTGGGGCGAAGCGGACGGCATTCTGCTGATGCCGCATACGCTGGCAATCAATGTCCTCGACCTCCCGGTACCAGGCCCACTGGTCTTCAGGTGGGTTACGCTCGAACTTCTCCTGAAGTGAGCGAGTAAGGCTCCCTCAGAAGAGGTCGATGACAAACTCAGGGTCCTCCATGTGGCACTGAGCTGCCAGGTCCCGGAATTGCTCGACATGTCGCGTTGCTGCTCCTGGTGTGTCGGTAATAAGCCTCAACGCTAGGAGTTTGTTGTAGGCATCGACCCTGTCGCTGCGCTGATTGTACAGCTCCCTGAGTCGAGTGGTGAAGTGGCTCCAATCATGGAAGAGCATCCCTTGACGATGCCGGTCGATGCGGAGCTTACCCTTCCACCACTCTCGAGCGGTGCCCTCGAGCTGGGCTGCCGTGTGTAAGATCATCGAAGTATGGTCGTACACACCATTAGCCTTGAACCAAGCGTCGGCCTCGAGAATGAAGATATCGATGTCGCGAGTGTCGAGCTTGGGGAATGGAGTCTTGAGGGCAGCGTGGGGCTGAGTGTCCTGTTCACTGCCAGTGCCGGTCCATGCCTCCGGGGTCACCGGTTTGACATACCGAGGTCCAGTAGGCGTAGCGTACTTCTCTTGATCGGTGTACGCTTGTCGGTCGAGAATGTCGAAGGTGACGGACCGAGGGTGTGGTCTAGTCGCAGGCGTGGGTGTCTCGAGACCACCGAGGTAGGACTCATCCGCCTGCTGCGAGGCTCGACGGGTCGGGGAGCTTAGATCATGCTCCCTAGCTCGTCGACCAGGGGAGGGAGTCTCCTGTTGGTCGAGCCAAGCCTTGAGGGCGGCATTGTCTACCTGCTGCTGCTCAAGGAGGGCGATGAGGCGGTCGAGTCTGTCATGTAGTGCAGAGTCGGCCATCTTGGTGAACTTGGGGCGTTGCTTGTACGATCCACTCTAATGTCAGCGGTTGCGTGCCAGAGATCCGAATTCCCGTGAGAAAGCGCGACTCGCCGGATTTCAGTGAATTCCGGCGGTTAAGCTTGGCCTCAACGGATATCGAAGAGAATCCCGCGAGTGGCGATCTCTCGACGGATATCGGCTGACCGCTGGTGACACTCCGTACAGAGGTAACGCGGCAAGCTCGGACGGGGTATTCGGTCGACGCGAGTGTCACGACGTCGACGGGATACTGCTGATGGCTGGGTTAGACCTCAGCCGTCGTTGCCGGTGGAGTTATGAGGGACTGGTTGTGGTGCCAGGCCCGCGGTTGAGGTTCCGCCTGTAGTTGAGGTGCTACAGCGTCGATTGTGGTGTCGACGACATCTATACGTTGTTCTCCGTTCACCGACGGGGACACAGACTATATGGATCGCAATAAATGGTATTGCGATGTGCGACGTGTGAAGAGTATGGTAAGTACGACGTACTGATAACTATGTGTGACTGAGATATAAGATAGAGTGGATGAGCTTCCGCTCATCCGATAGCGGGGAACAGAGTATTTATATATATATGTATCGTGTGCGAGGTCCATCGGTACTGTACGACCTGCGTGCGTTGAGCTTGGACCCCCGCACGATAAGACTGCCCCCTAGTCCTTCGGCAGGGTGCTTCCGAGCACGCCCGCGTGCTCCCTCTCCGTTGCCCCCTGGGCGTCGATTGGCCCACGTGTCGTTCCGGCGTGGCGTTGGTCGCCGCCATCGCAGATGCTCCCCTTGCCATCGATACCTTCGATATCCGGCAAGTCACTGCCACTCGCCGAATTTCCGTGAGATCCGTCGAGACCTGCTCTCTCACCGGATTTTGTCCGATTCAACTTCTCGGTTCTGCGCTAACCTTAAATCCCATGAGCCCACCAATATCCACCAGATCTCCCTGAGATCCGTCGAGACATGCTCTCCCACCGGATCTCAGCCGATTCAACATCTCTGCCCTGCGCAGACCTTTCCCTTGGGACCCACTCCCGTGACAGTCATGGTGAACTCTGAGCATGGATTGCCCAATCTGTGGCTTGACCAATCAGATCTGGGTTGCAACTGGCTGTGCCAACTTGCGCCCCTCCTGGTTGGCCCCATGGCTCTGACACCAGCAGATTCTCTATGTGGTGAAATCACTGCTAGAATAGCACCTTTGCTCCCTCCACAAGCTTGAGACAAGTTGAGGTATGCCTGTCAAGATCACTAGAAGCATACCCAAGCTCAGGCCTCTGCTTACCAATGCTGACTACCCAAGCCAGTACATGCCTCATGTAATTTACAGTACCATACAATGCTGCAGTGTAGGCTGAGGCAGCTCATACCAGATGACTGCCTGTGACCACCTTGGATGCTACCAGCAGCAGCCAATTGTCACCAACAGTTACCAACATGTTTATAGCTAGTTCAGGATCAAACCCTCTGGTTATTAGGGAGGTTTTGGGACAATGCAATTGGCCATGAGCAAAAGTCAATTTTGGCCCATGAGTCAAATGTTTCAAAAGCAGGTTTGGTTCAAAAAAGCACTTTTTTGCGGCACATCATCCTTGGCTCCCAAAAGCCCACTTTCCTTTGCAACTTTCTCAATTTTTCAAAGCTAACATGGCTAAAAGAAACTGTGATTCTGTGAGCTGACTGGTATCCTGGACTTGGATTGTATAGTGGTAGCTGATGGCCACCAGAGTAGCTGTGGAGAGGAGCAACATGTTGGAATGATTCATTGTGTCAAAGTCAAAGTGTGGTGGAGAGACAAAGGCATGGATGTGGCATTGATTGCAGCACAAGCAAGGCTGTGTCAGGTCAATGCCAGCAATGTGATGCTAGACTGAAGCTTAGAGATTTGCCCCAAAAAAGCAATGTTTCATGAGCCAAAAAGGGCCCAACTTGACTCATGCTAGATCCATGAGCAGAAGTCAAAAAGCTAAAAATGTGATTATAGAGGTGTTTGGCTCACAAAAAAGTCAAATTGGTTGTCCCAAAACCTCCCTGTCAAAAGGCATCCAGTATAAAATACACTCCAGCATCTACATAGTCATGCTGTTCTCACCTCATCCCAACATTGCAGGATGGTTGGCAAGCCCATGCCCTGGCTGAGATGTGAACAAGCATCATGAAAAGAGCTGAGCACAAAAAGCTTGGAGATGTGGGGGATTGAACCCCAGACCTTCTCGAAATTCGTACGATTTGCTCAATGCAAACGAGACGCTCTGCCACTGAGCTACATCCCCCTTTATTAGATCCAACATTACAAAAAAGATTCCTCATCATAATATATATATTTTTTGGCACGGGTACGAAGGGGGGGGACGGCGAACACTCAAATCGAACAAGGTTTGCATGCTCATGATGACCGGAGGTGAAGAACGATATGTAAAAGTACGAGGCCGAATCTGACTCCGTCTGGGCCAAACCCGTGCACATCTTGACAAGGGGTGGAGGTTAGACGCCGAGTATGCAGGGTCTGATGCGAAGTGAATCATCCAGCGTGCCGTACAGGGCATGATGCCGGCGCTCTTCGTCTGCTCACATTTTCTCTTGTATTCATCAGCTTGAGCACAAGATCTTCTCAAACTCCAGCACAAAGACGAAACGAACAACAATCCAAACCGCCAGATTCGAAACCTTCACAATGGCGCTAGACAGGACCCTTGAGCAGATCCTTCACAGTGAATGCTCGCATCTGGGGACATCTTTCGCCTCACGCGGCGCATCATGTGTGATCGTGCAGCCGAGCAATCGAGCGCTCTTCGCCAAGATCGAAAGCTCCGTCGAGCAAACTATTGGCGAGGCAGAGAGCTTGAAAGCCATGTTTGCTGCACTAGCATGGAGCGCAGGAAGACTCGTACCAAAGGTGCATGCTTCTGGCAAGACCTCGGACGGGCGACAAGCATATTTGATCACAGACTATCTCGATCTCAAGCCATCAGTCAACAGAGCAGGACAGAAGATGCTAGGGCAGAAACTTGCCCAAATGCATCAGAAGGGACTGAACGAACGCGGAAAGTTCGGGTTCGATGTTGCTACCTTCTGCGGCGTGACAGTAAGTCGAGCAACAGTATGAGAGCTTAGATACCTGCTACACATGCTGACGTGGAGATCACTACTCGGGCACACCCCCTCGAAACAGCGCCAAGACAATACCTGGAGTGCCTCTTGGCCGAAGTTCTGGGCCGACCAACGAATTGGTGACCTCGTAAACAGAATTCACATCGACCGGCCCGATAATGAGCTCAAGGACTTAGAGACGCAAATGCGAGATAAGTAAGCTGTTAACAAGCTTTGGAGCATGATTTCCGAGTGGAACCCGATGCTGACCACCGCTGCTTCCCTTGTTCAGGGTCTATCCGGTGCTCCTCGCTCCATTGGAAGGAAAAGTCAAGCCAAGCATCTTGCATGGCGACTTATGGTAAGTGACAATCCGCATTGAGCCTCCTGTGGGAAGAGAAAATATTCATGCATTGCTTCGAGAGGCTATTACAGGTCTGGCAACGCTGGCACCGTCGTCGACTCGGGCGAGCCAGCCATTTTTGAGTGAGTTCTCCAGCATTGAGTCAACTTACAGATTAAGATGTGCTCTTACTCACCTCCTTTGATCGAAATGCACGACTGCGTCGTCTACAGCCCGTGAGTTATCATCGATTTGACCTTGTCCTTGGCCTTCTGCTGACCACCTCATCTCTTCCGGCCGATCGCAGCTCGAGCTATTACGGTCACAATGAAGCAGAGTAAGTTCGGACCTACATGAACGGACGTCTCACTAAGGGTGCTGATGCTTTCGCTATGATGATATCAGACTCGGTATCATGAACATGTTTGGTGGCTTCACGCAAGATTTTTTTGATGCTTATCATGAAGTGATCCCCAGGACGGAGCCATATTACGACGAGAGGTCGCAGCTGTACGAGTTGTACCACCAGTAAGTTGCCTGTTTCACACGAAGTCCAAGCCAATGTTTTTAACTTAGAAGCTGGTTAACTAATTCTTATTCATCATTGCTTTCACACATCGCTCAGCCTAAACCGTGAGTGTCCCACTTTGCACCACACAGTCGAGCTGATCGAAGGGCATCTGACGCAAAGGGTCGTTTCTGTGATGATTTTATAGACATGCTCATGTTCAGGGGCGGCTACAGATCGGGAGCTGTCTCCATCATGCGTTCGCTGATCCGCTTCTGTGACTCTGTCGTCGACACAAAGTGACAGTACGACCTCCTTTTGTATTGCCTTCAGGCGAATCCAAATCCCTCGCCACCCTCATTCATCGCCAGAAGCAAACTCGAACGCAGCTTCTCATACGAGTCGTACTGCGGTAAGTCAAGCTGGTTGAAACACGTGTGTGCGGCAGGCAATCTATCGGCTCCGTATGCCTTGTGGATATTGAATCTCTGCGTGCCCTGCACACCTTGGAGGTGGGCAAAGCCTTCTAGCGGCACCTTGCTTGTTCCTGTGATGAATTGCAAGAGCTTGGCCTTTTCCGTCTGGTCAAAAGATCGGACCGCGCGCCACCACCACTGAATGACGGCGTCACCAGAGCCATATCCATGCAATTCGGTGTTGTTTTTCCATGCATCGACATCGATGTCGGGCAGACCAGAAATGAGCAATTCAAGCTCTTGCTCCGAAAAGATGCGGATGAGGTCGGCGGGAATGATCTCATTGAAGCCGCCGAGAAAGGCATCAATCTGCGATTTGATCGACTTGGTGAGCCTTTGTTCTGTGACAAGACGCACATATTCGTGTTTGTTCTCTTCACTAACGGGAATGTTTGTGCCATCAGGCTTGAGCTCGATGACTTTGGTCTCGCCAAACTCTTCGTCGTCGACGCTGAAGGTGAAGTCGAGTATATCGGTGATGTCATTGTTGAGCATCCACTCGAGACTCTTGAAATACTCTGGATCGACAGATTCAATGTCACGGTAATCGACAGGTTTGCCGAGGATGTGTTTGTAGAAACTTCGAGTGAAGTAGGCGTCGAGCAGACGACCATCGTAGATTGCTTTGCCGATGATACGTCCAACAAATTTGAAGAAGGAGAGATGATCAGGATTGACGTACGACATTCGATTTGGCTGATATGTGGTGCGATCCGCCGCACACGGTTGAAAGAGCGCATAGTCTGGATTGAACATGGCTCTCGCCAAGACTTGAAACCATTCTCTGGTGACACCGCCTGCATCAATACCCTCCTCGTTGTTGAAGCGAACGTTCAACTTGCCATGCTTGACGTCGGGCCCATTCTTTCGTGAGAAGTATCGGTAGCTGTCCTCGAACACCGAGTTTCTACGGACCGACAACGAAAGAGGTGTGTAGTGGTCGCGACGACCCTTGTGCAGCTGCTGTGTAAAATAGTTCTTCTTGTTGTCAAAATCGAGTACCTTTGGGTTGCGAACGAGCATGGCGAACGAGCCAGACATGAGCGCGGGGTTCTGGCGCACCATGATGTTGAGGATCTTGCGATGCTTCTCGGTAAAGGCGAAGAAGTCATCTTCCATAGCTTCTTTCCGTGACTTGGGTTCGCCTCCGGCATTTTGACGGCTGTGTGGTGGTCGCGCCTCAGAGCTCGAGCCCGAGCCCGAGCCAGAGGCAGAGGCAGAGGCAGAGCCAGAACTTTCGGGCTCGGAGCTGGTCACATGCTGCGAGACGACCATCATGCTTTCGATCAATGGCAGCAGGATTTGAGCTGCACCAGGATCGTTCTTCATCCTCGAGAGGACCTCGCTGAGCTTTGACCATAAGGCATCGAAGTGGAAAGACTTGTAGATCTGGCTTAGCTTCGCTTGGTCTTCCTCCCGCTTCTTCTTCAAGGCTTCGCTGTGTGCGTTGTCGGGTTTCCGCCCGGACGGGCTGGCACGTGCTTCGCCGGGATAAGGCATGCGAAGAAACATGTTGAGCGCCTCGAGACTAGGATCTCCAGATGAGCCGTCCATACTCTGCATCGAGCCATGTACAGGGATACCTCTGTGGTCGATCGCGATGAAGGCGCCCAAAGGGTGGTCGTGCGTTTGCTCCGGCATGGTTCAAGATGCGCGTGACTTTTCTTTTGCGCTCGTGCGCAATCTGACGGGCTTCGATAGAGCGATGTATCGTTGCGATGAGTATGACAGGATACGAGCTGCCTCTGAAGCCTTACGTCGGAAGCTGCAAGGTAGCTGAGTTTTATCGTAAATCAAGGCTTGGTGGTACAGCCGAACGGGCAAGTACGCTGCTGCACCCGGCTATCGAGCCGTCCTGAGGCTGGCGTGATCTTTGTAAGAGGGCAGTTGCTGAATAGTAGGCCGACGGTCTGAGCCTGTGGAAGGGATGCTGTTGATCGATTTGGGAAGATGTTACCGAGAAGCGGAAGCTATATGCAGCGCATAGTGTTGGTTGCGGATCACAAAGAGCGTCAGTCAGGAGCAAAGCCCAATTTGCCAAAACCCTTGACCAAAAGTGGACAAAGTGGAGCTCAGTTGTCTGAATCTCGATCAAAACTCGATTCAAAATCCCGATCCTGAAATGAATTTGACGCAGCCTTGACGCAATTCAGCTTTTAGACGTATATTATGGGTGTTGGATTGGTTGCATGAAGTGTTGCAGTGCTGCTCAGACCCTAGGAGACTCAGCTTGCCCCCGCAAAGCTCACACGAACCGGAGCAGGTCTGACTTGTACCAAACTTGTCCTGCTCTCCTTCTAACCTTCTACGAATCCCCAACGAAAAGCCGACGCTCTCCAACAGGTGCCTGGTGGTCCTTGTGCAGTAGCCAAGATGAGGATTGCCACCAAGCGACTTCAGAAGGAGCTGTTCGTATCAAACTCCCGTCTTTTCCCATTTTGCTATACACGCAGTGACAGGCAAGGAAATCTGACTGACCTTTAAAACGAAAATCTACCCATTACGAGGACGACAGCTCCGAAATCAGACTCAAAGGTCCTCCCGAAGGCTGTGCTATCATCAAAGCAGAGGATCTGCAAGAATGGCAATTCTCGATAGAGGTACTCGGCAACAGTCTCTACCAAGGCCAAAAGTTCGGACTTCGCTTCCGCTTCTCAGACACGTATCCCATGGAGAGCCCCGAAGTTGTCTTCATGACCACTGACGGATTCGAAGCTCCTATTGTGAGTCATCTTTCGTCCTTTCAGTCCTTCCTTGATGCATTGCAGGCAGACCCAGATGTGCTAACTCAGCGATGGCTTTCTTTGATTCTCGTTGGCGGGAAAAAACAGCATCCGCACGTGTATAGCAACGGCC